GTTGTTTAAAATCTACCTGGCTAATAATCTTTATTAACAAAAAAATCTACCATGTTCCACATAGAACAGGGTACTACCACTGTTACGGTAGATGTGCATTCATGGAAATTTTCAAAGGTGACATTTCCTTTTCCCTTTAATGTTTCATTAGGTAAAAAGCATTTTTGTATTGTTACTTAATACACAAAGAATACAGGGAAGGGATTTTCTTTACAATGGAAATATTAGAACACAATTTTGTTTTACAAACAACTGAGTAAAGTCATGCTACAGTGCAAGTCTGAACAGAAGCAGAGCAATTTTACAAAGAACCAGCAGCAAAACTTTGTCTTTCTCCTTGACTTTAGAAATAAGGAGCTGTAGTACATGGCTGCGTTTACTGTGTGTGAACTAAAACTGGTGCAAAAATAAACATTTCCTCTTGCCTAACTTAAGGAATTAAATAGGTTAACCTGGTTGCAGTGGAAATGGGATCACAGTAGGAGAAGCAGAATGAGTTCTCCCTTTACTGCAGTAAGCTCCATTTAATTCCATTACTTCAGTATCAAAATACATCTTGCCAAGAGGAAATGTGTTGTAGCATGTTATGAGCACCTTTCAAGTCTTGTCTTACTAACTAATGAACAACTCACAAGACCACTGTTAAAGTCTCCTGATGAGATCTGCAGGCTGATGCTGGAGCTCAATTAAAGGAAGACTGGAATGACTAAACTTTGCTAGAACATTTTGTTTCTTATGTATTTTTTTAAGATGGATTGATCTTAGTGTTTCTATAAATGTACATGGTACTGATGACTGTTGTGACAGCTGATACTATTTTCTAAAATCTTTCTGAAATTCCAACAGTGGAAATGGAATGACATTTCCTGTTAAATACAAGCTAGTTAATCAGTAATACTTATGTGCTTTTTCAGGTGATATTTCAGTGATTCATCTTCTTGTTTTGTATAAAATCAGCTGACTTCAGTAGGGTCACGAAGCTTTGCCATTAACTCCAGTGGAAGTAAAATATAATACTTTATTTTGCTGTCAGAAGTTGTATGGCTTCTTTCTTCCCTTTTCTACTTCACAGCAATGGCATACCAGTGCAAATCCTGCCATAATTAAACACCTAAGAGCGTGTCTTTGTAGAGTCTGGGAACATTGGTTTCCCTTCAATACCAAGAGTAGCCTTAATTTTTAACATTCGCCTCCAGTGGTTGAATTGCCTCGTTCCAACAGAATTCTCACTGAAGTGTATAGTCTGGCCTCTTAGAGCTTGCAGTGATTCTTTCGCATCCACTGGCTATGAAAAGGAGAAGGGAAATCTACACTGTGTTGGTCTTGCACCATTTTCACTTGTGATGAGTGCTTCAGAAATGCATACATAATACTCAGATAAGGTTATGCAGCTTTAACTGATAAAATAATTTGCAACTTACTCTTTTCACTTTTTTTTTTAAAGCTATTTCTGGGAACAATGATTTCTATGTGTGTGAGATACGTTAATTTTGTGGTGCCAATGATACTTGCGTTACCCATGCCTTGATGACAGCCCTGTTGCTTGCTCTGCTGATGTGCCCCATGCTGCTCTGGAGTTGGGCCCTCTCTGCCATGAAGACAACCTCCTCATGCTCCTGCCAGCCTGGTTCCACAGGTTGGTTGTCCTGGATTTTGTCATTGGAATGTTTGGTTTTGAAGAAATGAACTCAACCTTTTACATATACACCACTAAGTGACCTGAAGAGATCCCTTCCCTTTCTTCATTGTTCCTTCACAATGTAGTAAAGGTATTGTGAGCCAAAGATAAAGGAACCTGACTTAACTTCAACTGTCAAGTTCCTAAAGAGGAGTTCCCTTTATTCATAAAACAGGATATGAAATATAAAGTGCATGTCTTGGGACAAACAGTGTAAAATTAGAAGACAAAACAGAGGAAATACTTGAAAACTAGCTGTTTGTTTTGTTTACTCACCAGCTCCTAAGTCAGGTATGTGTATCGTCGTTTGCGAACTCGTAGAAGAGACATCACAGAGGATGAAATGCCTGAAGATGGGCATTTCTTATCTGTACCCAGGACTGTGAGGGTTGCTACTAACAGTCACTTGGAAATGAGGAACTGTTGTCCTTGGCTTTTCTACTTACTGTTTTATCTTATTTGTGAAAATTAAATCAACCAGATGAAGTAACTGGGTCATATGCAGGGTGTAAGGTCTTCTGTACCTGCCTGTGATTAGTGAAAGAGAAGGAAATACCGCTGCAGTTACGAGCAGGACTGCTTTTCTTCTGAACCTTAGCTTTATACAAGACTTTGAGTTGCATGTGAACGTAAGTGACATTCCTCTTGAAATACCACACCTTTACAAGAAAGTCAAGATGTTTCTTGGTCTGTATCTAAACAGCAAAATGTAAACCAATTTTCCAGGTGGTGGATGTGAGTGGGTGTCATAGCTGCATCCCAGCTTCTCCTTGGGCTGGATCCAAACGTGCAAATCTGTTCATGTTTCCTGGCTTCCTTGTGAAGAAAGTTAAAGTATGCAGGATGAAAGGGAAGCTTTGACAGGTGCTCGTTTTTCACAGCTGTGTGGGAAAGATCCCAAGGCGTGCTGCGGGGCATGTCTGCCCTGTGACTTAAATGTAACTTCTGTTGACCAACTCTTCTGTTGCCTTCTTACTGCCCCTAACCCCAGCCATTATATACAGCTGTGGGCAAATGAGATCTGAGTCACTGCTGGGTATCAAGTCACCAGTGCTGTTCTGTTACTGTGCTCTGTTGGAAGACAGCCCTGCTGTGTTCAAATGCAGCATCAGCAAATGATCCAACCGTTGTGGTTTCAGTGATGAACTGAGGTCGATTTATGGGGCCATGCCATACTAGTCACTAGTTATTTTTTGTATAGGTTGGGCCAGTAAGACATAAAAAGATTCAGGGGATAGAGCAATTGAGGATTCTGGCAATAAACTTCTGTCTTTGTATCTCTGGTGACCATTTAGTAGGAAAAGGCATAAACCATGCTGAGGGAAGTGTTACAGAAGGAAATCCTCTCCCACCAGTGTTGTGTTACCTGCTCTCCATATAGTGGAGCCTGTTAATCTGCTATTGTTCTTGCCAGTGGGACAGTGATCACTCAAGGCCATTTGTCATTTGTTTATTGCTCCTGGAGACTGCAAAACAGCAGGGTCTGTTTTTTTTTTTTTCCTCAGACAATGACATGTATTTATGATGCTACGTTGTAAACTGCTTAGCAAACCTGGAAGGACAACACAGAACTGAGGGGGGTGGGAGGGAGAAGGTAAATCATCAGGGAGTAGGGTGATTCTATAATACTGGACTTGAGGTATAAATCATTAATCCAGATGAGTCTCTCGAGAGCCTTCCAACCTGGAAAAGCTATGCTGTTACTTGCCTGAAAGTGCACAGGTCACAAAAGCCGTCATATGCGTAAAGGCCTGCTCAGGGGTAGGTCATACAAGATCCAGATGACTGCATTGGATTTAGATGTTCATTACAGGTGCTATGCAGGAGGGAATTGCTTGTTTGGCTTTATTCCCGCCAGTGTATCCTAAGATCCAAGATGGCAAATGCTGCTGTTGCTTTTGATGCTTTGGGGATCTCGTTGTTTAAGTGACAGCAAAGAACTGTGCCATTGGCTCAAATGCTTTTAACTTACTGACCTCTCTGCCTCCCTGGACGTTCCTATGTGTCATCAAGGTCAAGTTGCTGAGGGACGCACAAGCCTAACGTCTGGCTTTGAAGCTGTATGCACGGTTTGTGACTAAAGTACTTGACAAAACTTGAGGAAAAGTCGAGGAGGTGGGATGGGGACTGGTGCCTGCATTAGTTGTGTTAAAATAGAACTAGCACGGTGTAGGGGGTCAGTTCTCAGCTGGTAAAAATAGCCATAGAGACATTGGTTTACCCAGGGTGGGTTTTTTTTCAACTGTGAATATAGCTTGTGTCACTCCTGGTTTTTGCCATGTGCCAGTTCTAGTGAATGTGCTCATAGATGGCTTCATTCTGTGTTGCCAGCTTAGAGGAAAAGCATGCTTGGCAAAGATCCATCTCTTTTTCTTTGGAAGAATAATTGCTGGGGAGTGGTCGGGAAGGACTAATGCTGATCATTCCCTGCTTGGGGCACTCCCATATGTGCCCTCTCACGGCTTGGTGTCTGCACAGACCCCAGCTCATCTTATTTGTAAGGATAGTTTTCCTGTTCTACTGCAGGTTTGTCACGTTGCATTCATTTTTGCACTCACCCTAGTGAAGTCAATGGGGGTTCAAGGAGGGAGACAGGATTTCACTCCATCTCACCATTCAGTCGGTATTATGGAACACTCAGCACACAAGTATGTGCACTTCATCAGCTCTGCTATTAATTAAGCATGTTCCTGGGGGACATACTTAGCCAGATGTGACCAAGTCACCAAAGTGCTTGGAGTTTAGCTTGGTTTTGTCTGGAATTTATGTGAACTCTGAACATGAACTCTGGTGTTTCCAGGGGCAGGGGAAGAAGTTGTTTTTTTGTGTAGAAGGCCCATTTCTCAGGTTATTTTTGAACTAAGGCTACAGGGTTAGAACATGACATTTTTCTCTCAGAACTCAGGAATCACATGTAGGGGACATAAATGCAAAGTATGGAACAGAGATGTTTTATCTGCTATGAGCAGACTGATCTGGAACAAACCAGCAGTCCATCTGGATGACCTGCTCATGTAATCTTTGGTGCTTACTGATGTCTGGTATCATATTTAACTTGAATGTAGTTTTGCTCTGAAAAGTGACTTTTTATAAAGTTGGTATCATGAAGTTCCACAGTTCACTGTGTTTCCATGCGCAAGCATGCTCGCTTTATCAGTCAATGAATACTTACTCTTGACTCTGTCTTTGCACATCTGTTTCTGAAATAAGGTGGTGTTTTTTGTTTTTTTTTTTTTTTTAGCTCAACCTCAGCAAGGATTCAGTAATTGGAAGTTAGCAATTGTATTGACTATATACAAATAAAAATAAAATCTAGTTTGCACTGTCATAACTGTTGGCTCCACATGGGTTAGCAAGAGTAAAATTTGCTTTACAATTCAGTCATTTGAACAGATGTGATTCTGATTATGCACAAAAAACAATGAAATAGTGCCACTTCTATACAGACACTTTTCAGACTTATTATAATATTTTCTTTGTATTAAAACAATTATAGTTTTCTAAATTCCCTTTACCCAGATGTTAGTTGTAAATTGCTGGGTACCACTGAGTGTATTGCAGGATGACATCAGGTATGCTGATATGAAGAGTGAGGGCTGACAAAAGCACAGATCCAGCTGCAGGGCTGTTAATCGGAAAACAGGCTAGCAAATGACTTCCTCAGGTTACGGATGGTCTCAGCTTTTGCTTCGTCTTCATTGGCATTTCCCCGCTGAGATGATTCAGATATGCTGAAGGTGTTTGTCAGGGACTGCGATTTGCTGAAATGGAAAACAGTGTTCAGACTCAGCAGGAGAAGGTGGTAGTTCAAAGCTGGCTACTGATGCTTTGTGTTCCATCACACAGGCAAATTCAAGGATAAAAGGAGAGGTAAGCAAGGAGAAACTCCACATGCTAAGACATCCAGGAATGAAGGGAGGGGAGATGCTGGGGCACGAGCAGGTGGCTCCAATATCACAGTCCAGACTAGTAAATGTTTATGAAAACATCTGACTAAAGCCATGCAAATGCAACTGTTGTGAGGAACAGTTAGCTAAGTTCACTACTAATACCGAAGAATGGATTCATACTGAGGGTCATCTCATCGGCCACACCATGAATGGTGGTCCTGTCCTTTCAAGTGTGAGAGCATGAGGGGTTGGGCAAGTTGGTAGCCGTGTCCCATGCAATGCGTGCTGTTGCCTGCCCTCCCTGTCATGTCTGCTGTGACTGTCAGCTGCAGTATGCAGGCCTTCGGGTTGGCCACTCTGCTCCTGCTGGGTGTGTATGTGCTAGTGTGATGTTCAGATCAGGACCGTGCTTCTGAAGTAAATCTCCCAGTTTTCCCCACTTACCATGCTTTGTCACTGAGTGGTTTCTCCTGGTCAGCACAAGACCAGAGTACCTGAAATATGTGTAGTGTGGAGACTGCATCCTTAGCACCAATATTTTGATCCTTAAGTCCACTGGTCTTGGTTTGCCTTGCAAATGTAGACATCATCACTGAAAGCCTGCTCCAGAACATCGGTCCTCTGCTGTCTAGAAACTGTCTTCTCATTGCTTAGCCTATATTTTGTTCTGGTCTGTTCATACCAGTTTGCTCTTGTGTCAACTTTTTGTCAACACCAAACATGGTGCTGGCCAGATATGCTCCATGAATGGTGGCAGCAAAGGCTGCTACCAAAGAGCCACACAAATTCAGTGCTGCGCTCTGCTCCAGAAGAGTGCTTAAACTATCTGGAGTCTAATATATATGAGTACCGCCACTT